ATCGAGCTTCGAGCAGGTCGAAGACGTCGAGCCGGATTTCCGACCCGCGTCTCCCGAGCCTCCGGCTGAGGCCTGTAAGGATGCTTTGGGGCCCTTGTCGGGAATGGCTCTAAGGCGCTCCCTGTTACAAGTACTCATTCTAAACTATACCCCAAAGCCCTGTTCTCACCATCAAGCCCCCTGTCTCAATCCATCACAAATATGGTCGATTCTACCCCTAAGGGCACCATAAGAAGCCTTTCTAGCAAGGTCTTAGGAAGTTTGGGTTCCAAGCTCTGGGATTGGGAGCTTGAGGCTTTCGGGGCTCAGTCATCCCATGAGCTCCCGTTCCCGCAGGCTTGAGACATGATTCCATAGATGTGGGAACATGTAGGCTTCAAGGGTTTAGGGCCGTTAGGGCTTAGGGTGTAGGCTTCAAGGGTTTAGGGCCTTTAGGGTTTAGGGTGTGGGCTTCAAGGGTTTGGGGCCCATAGGGTTTAGGGTGTAGGCTTTCAGGGTTTAGGATGTAGGCTTCAAGGGTTTCGGCTGTAGGCGCTGAGGTTTTTGTAAGAAGCCTGGCATGGCCATCCAGAAGTGGCTTTGAAATTGAGGGAGACCCTCAACGAGCTCTGACCCGTGAACCCTAGAATCCTGAAGCCTATACCCTGAACCATCCTAAAACCCTAAACCCCTGAACCCTAGACCCTAAGCCCTGAACCATAAACCTAACCCCACCCCCAAACTCGAAGACGAAGACCAAGCCTACCCTTGAGTCCCATGGAGGACGGATCTGCGAGGGAGGACCTAGAGTCTACGGCCTCCCAGGAAGAGGCGCGCGCGTTCGGTTTTAGGGTTCCTGCAAGGGCTTTTGCAACGGTCACTTTTGAGATTTACTGGCAACTGTTGCTGCACACCTTGCCCATAGTCAACGTAAACACGAAATCCTGAATCCCCAAATCAGCCCCACACCCTTAGCCGTGAAAGTTGCAGTGAGCCTTGAACATTCACCCCAGCCCCCACACCTTCAACCGGAAGTGGAACACCGCAAGCCAAGGCTTTACACGTTTTCCCATACTGTACCTATACACGTAGTAAGGAACCCGAAGGAATAGTATGACCAGTTCGGTAGGGAGAAGCATGGATGAGATTTTCGGCCCTGGGTTCCGGGTTTAGGGTTTAGGTTACGTCTTGCGAACCTCCATCGTTGGGTATTGGCTCTTCTTGAACCCTTGTCCGGCTTGTCTCACCTCCTTGAGGTCCAGGATGACGTGGCGTTTGTATCAGCGTTTTGATGAGTGTATGTGTGTGTGTGTGTGGGTTTCCCTGTGAAAACGCTAGTATCAACTGACCCTCAACGATTCCTTTTGACACCAATGAAACCAGAGGAAGCCCTTTTAAAACACGCTAGAGCCCACTGCCGTCCCCCAAACCCTAAGCACTAAACCCTCCACCCTGATATTCAAGCCGACAAGCATCAAGCTTCGAGCAGGTCGAAGACGTGGAGCCGGATTTCCGACCCGCGTCTCCCGAGCCTCCGGCTGAGGCCTGCAAGGACGCTTTGGGGCCCTTTCCGGGAATCGAAGGTTGCAAGGTTGCAAGGTTTAGGACTTCAGCGCTCTAGGACTACGGGCTGTAGGCTTCAGATATGAAGCTATACTCGCAAGGGCTTAGGCCCCAGGAGTTAAGGTTTAGGTGGGAAGCTACACACCATCCAGAAGTGGATCGACCCTGACTGAGACCCTCAACGAGCACTGATCCCAGAAGCCTAACTATCCCCTCCCTCGACCCTGCGACATACAGCACCCGACCCCAAAGACCCTAAACCCTCGAAGGCTCAGACCCTCAACCCAAACTCCAGAAATTTAGCTTAGGGTTTAGGGTCATGGGTTGAGGGCTATAGAATTAGGGATGTAAGACTCCGGAGACCCGCAAGAGAAAGTTTGGAAGCCTACTCTTGAGACCTGTGGAGGACGGATCTGCGAGGGAGGACCTAGAGTCTACGGCCTCCCAGGAAGAGGTGCACGCACGTCCGGTTTTAGGGTTCTTGCAAGGGCTTTTGCAACGGTCACTTTTGAGAGTTACTGGCAACTGTTGCTGCACACCTTGCCGACAGTCGAAATCCTGAATCCCCAAATCAGCCACACCCTTAGCCGTGAAAGTTGCAGCGAGCCTTGAATATGCACCCCAGCCCCCACACCTTCAACCGGAAGTGAAACACCGCAAGCCAAGGCTCTGGGACTGAGGCCCTAAGTGGCCCAACATAGGAGCCTTATTGATTTAAAACGTTTTCCCATACTGTACCTATACACACGTAGTCAGGAACCCGAAGGAATAGTATGACCAGTTCGGTAGGGAGTAGCATGGATTAGATGTTCGGCCCTGGGTTCCGGGTTTAGGGTTTAGGTTACGTCTTGCGAACCTCCATCGTTGGGTCTTGGCTCTGACGTGGCGTTTGTATCAGCGTTTTGATGAGTGTATGAGTGTGTGTGCGTGTGGGTTTCCCTGCGGAAACGCTAGTATCAACTGACCCTCAACGATCCCTATAGACACCAATGAAACAAGAGGAAGCCCTTTCTAAAATAAGCTCCTCAGCAATAAACCCTCAACCCTGATATTCAAGCCGACAAGCATCTAGCTTCGAGCAGGTCGAAGACGTGGAGCCGGATTTCCGACCCGCGTCTCCCGAGCCTCCGGCTGAGGCCTGCAAGGGCGGTTTGGGGCCCTTGTCGGGAATCGAAGGTTGCACGGTTGCGAGGTTTAGGACTTCAACGCTCTAGGACTACGGGCTGTAGGCTTCAGACATGAAGCTATACTCGCAAGGGCTTAGGCCCCAGGAGTTAAGGTTTAGGTGGGAAGCTACACACCATCCAGAAGTGGATCGACCCTGACTGAGACCCTCAACGAGCACTGATCCCAGAAGCCTAACTATCCCTAAACCCTCGAAGGCTCAGACCCTCAACCCAAACTCCAGAAATTTAGCCTAGGGTTTAGGGTTTAGAGTCATGGGTTGAGGGCTATATATAGATTGGGGTTTTAAGACTCTTGAGACCCTCAAAGGAAAGTTCCGAAGCCTACTCTTGAGACCCGTGGAGGACGGATCTGCGAGGGAGGACCTAGAGTCTACGGCCTCCCAGGAAGAGGCGCACGCACGTCCGGTTTTAGGGTTCCTGCATTGGTCTTTGCAACGGTCACTTTTGAGAGTTACTGGCAACTGTTGAACACCTTGCCGATAGTCAACGTAAACGCGAAATCCTGAACACCCTTAGCCGTGAAAGTTGCAGCGAGCCTTGAACATGCACCCCAGCCCCCACACCTTCAACCGGAAGTGAAACACCGCAAGCCAAGGCTTTAAACGTTTTCCCATACTGTACCTATACACGTAGTAAGGAACCCGAAGGAATAGTATGACCAGTTCGGTAGGGAGTAGCATGGATGAGATTTTCGGCCCTGAGTTCGGGGTTTAGGGTTTAGGTTACGTCTTGCGAACCTCCATCGTTGGGTCTTGGCTCTGACGTGGCGTTTGTATCAGCGTTTTGATGAGTATATGAGTGTGTGTGTGTGTGTGCGTGCGCGTGCGCGTGTGCGTGTGGCTTTCCCTGCGAAAACGCTAGTATCAACTGACCCTCAACGATCCCTATAGACACCAATGAAACAAGAGGAAGCCCTTTCCAAAATAAGCTCCTCAGCAAGAAACGAAGCCCTTTCTAAAATAAGCTCCTCAGCAATACACACCCTGATATTCAAGCCGACAAGCATCAAGCTTCGAGCAGGTCGAAGACGTCGAGCCGGATTTCCGGCCCGCGTCTCCCGAGTCTCCGGCTGAGGCCTGCAAGGGCGGTTTGGGGCCCTTGTCGGGAATCGAAGGTTGCAAGGTTGCGAGGTTTAGGACTTCAGCGCTCTAGGACTACGGGCTGTGGGCTTCAGATATGAAGCTATACTCGCAAGGGCTTAGGCCCCAGGAGTTAAGGTTTAGGTGGGAAGCTACACACCATCCAGAAGTGGATCGACCCTGACTGAAACCCTCAACGAGCACTGATGACTCGACCCTGCGACATACAGCCCCCGACCCCAAAGACCCCAAACCCTCGAAGACTCAGACCCTCAACCCAATCTCCAGAAAGTTAGCTCAGGCTTAGGGTCATGGGTTGAGGGAAAAAGAGACTTGGGAAAGTTCGGAAGCCTACTCTTGAGACCCATGGAGGACGGATCTGCGAGGGAGGACCTGGAGTCTACGGCCTCCCAAGAAGAGGCTCGCTGCAGGGGTCTTTGGGGTTCCTGTAAGGGCCTTTGCAAAGGTTCCGACAGGGGGAGCCTCTAAAACCCCTAAAAACCCCTAAAGCAAGGAGATCTGAAGGGGCTTTGGGGTTTTGGCGCTTAGCTTGAGGAGTCCAGCTTAAGACTATGACTGAGTGTGTTGGGACGGGGCGTATCTATGGAGGTATGCCGCAGGATAAGATGCTGACGATCCACCCGAGCCCGCTGCGTCAGATCGTGATCTACCCGTCAGATACTGGTTTAAGACCCTAAACCCCTAAACCCCTAAACCCCTCAAACCCCTAAACCCCCTAAGCCCACAAGCCCCTAAACCCCTAAACCCCTAAAGCCCCTAAAACCCCTAAACCCCTAAGCCCCTAAACCCCTAAGCCCTACCTACCCCAGTGTCAGAGGGCGTTTGGTGGCAGGGCTTGGGGCTCAGGGCCCCTCTAAACCCTCAACTTGCTTGGGGTTTAGGGTTTAGGGCTTTAGGGTCTAAGGCTTTGGGTTTAGGGTTTAGTGTTTAAGGCTTAGGGTTTAGGGGTTTAAGGTTTAGGGTTTAGGGGGGCTGCAATCTATGAACCTGGGCCCTGGGATCCTCAGTGTTTGTCTTCTTGTCGCTGCGAAGGCAGATGTTCGTGAGCCAAGTTTGTGAGGACGTTTTGCTCGAGCTGGTCGCATAAGTCGGCTCATTTTTGGGTGTCTTGTCCAGTGAAAACCGCCCTGATTTTCGCAGAATCGCGATTCACCAAAATTCAGATATCAGGATGGTGCCCACTCGATCCTTCCTTTTGGTGCTCCTTACGGAAGCACTTTGGTTTTGCCCCTCAGAGGACCCAGAGGCTTCTCTCTTGGCCGGGGACGATGCCTGCATTGACTCCGAAGCTTTGCAGCTGAGTAAGTAACCTTTAACCTTTTTGGGCATATATATCCCTACCATTATAGAAACCTTTAACCTTTTTGGGCTTATATATCCCTACCATTATTGGAAGGTTAACCTTTTCTGCTCAGCCCCTAAGGAAGAGGGTGAGTGCAGCGTCTCTTTGCGTCAGCTTCGTCTAGGCCGGCAACAGGCGGCGGAGGAAGGGTACGACCAAGAAGAAGTCGAGCCTGTCTCCATCGTCCTACCCTGCACAGAGCACTCCGAGTTTGCCGCCGACTATGACTCCGGCAACTTGCAGAGTTCTTTAGCAGAGGTCAAGGAGCATGTCCAAGACACGGGAGCAGCGGATGGCGCAGAGAGGGGTTGCTGGCAGGCGAATGTTTACTACAGGGAGGCCAACAATGCGATCACCATGCCTGGTACGCATCGGATGCTCCTACCTTCTCCAGAGATATGCCAGGGGGCATGCGCGAAAACCCCCGGTTGTGGCCACTTCTCCTTCTGGAGGGATGGAGGTTGCCTTTTGACCAGTTCCGGTGCTCACGCCATCGGCCATGGCGGAGTGGTCTCCGGCCCAGGGAGTTGCACTGATGCCGCAGGCGCCGCCGCCAGTGCTGGTCCAACTTACACTTACACCGCCCCAAGTGTGATGACGGTGAAAGCACGTGGCGGCTTAGAGCCCCCGAAGGAGGTCCAGGAGTACAACGGCGTCGCTTGGCCAACCATGAAGATCGCGGATCAGAAGAAGGAGTACCACATGTTTGCCATCGGCGACTGGGGAAGCTTGGTTGGAACTAACCCAGGTCAAATGGTCCAGTACAAGGGCGGTCACACCAATGGTCCTCATACAATGGCCCGCTGGCGAGGAGGGTGCAATACTGACACGATGAGGTCTTGCTTTGCTGGCGAATCTTGCCCCAAATCCTGCAACTACGTGCCCGATGCGGACTATCGGGCGCAGGTAAATGTGGCAACCACCATGAAAAAGTTCGCCAAAGAACGTCAGCCGGACCTCTACATCAACGTGGGAGACAACTTCTACTGGGGAGGTGTGAACACAGCCTGCGGAACGCCGATGAACAAGATCCATCCGGTGACAGCACACCAGTTCACAGAGACTAGGTCCCCGGTAGTACCGCTGTACGCGTTTCCAATGGGGTTCTCCTCCTAAAAAACTTCATACTGGTCAAGAGGGTATAAACTGAATAATACCTGTATAAACACTTTCAACAAACTATTGTGATACCCCTAAAAACCCTACAAAAATCCTATAAAAGCCATAAAAAAAGCCTAGTGAAATCCGATAAAGCCATATAAAAGCCCTATAGAATCCTATAAAGCCTAGGAGATCTTCGAGAAAGTCTACACCGGCGATGGCGTGGACGGAAAGCCATGGCTCAGTGTACTCGGCAACCACGACTACGGGGGCTTCCAGTTTCTAGGCCGCACAAGATCCTGTATCTACAGATAGCAGGGACGTAGAAATATAAATATGTATGCATATATATATATATGTAGTGTAGTGTAGTGTAGTGTAGTGTAGTGTAGTGTAGTGTAGTGTAGTGTAGTGTAGTGTAGTGTAGTGTAGTGTATTGCATTTGATTGTATTGTATTGTATTGTATTGTATGTATGTATATGTATGTATATATATATACATATATGGATATCTCTCTCTCTCTCTCTCTGTGTTTGGTTGGTTGTTTATGTATTAATTTGTTTATTTATTTATGCATTTATTCGGTTATTTATTCATCTCTTTATTTATTTATTTTAATTTAAACACTATGTAAGTAAGAAAATAAATAAATTAGTTAGTTAATACACAAATAAATACATCTTGTATAACACGTGCATACAAACAGACATACATTTACTTCATGCAGGTGTACTTATATATAAACAGGTATGCAGATATGAGTATGTATGTGTGCATGCGCATTTGTGTGCACATGTATGTGTGCGTATGTGCATATATATATATATAT